TGCGGCCGCGGGAAGGGCCCATGACGACACGCTGTGTGAAGGCCTTTCAGACTTTTGGTGTCGGCGGCAAAGCTACGCAGTTTGTCGAGGTCCTCGAGAGACGCCAGCGACTGAGGCAGCGTCAACGACTGGAGGTCGCGGTGCAGGACGATCGGCAATGTGATCTTGGTGCGGCCTAAAAACGGGTAGCCTCGGGAGCGGCAAAGAAGCGGGCGGCGGCAAGGTTGGCAGGGACGTCTTCACTCATGCGCAGCACGTGGGCCAGCAGGCGCCAGCGCTGGCGGGCGACGATCTCGCTCAGCGGGACGCTGTCGCAGCGGTCGTAGAGCGCGACGTCGCCGAGATGCTGTCCATAGATGAGAATATGCAAAGACGAGCTGTTGGTGCTTACTTATCGGGGGTGCGAAAGGCAGTTGGCTTGGAGATGCACGTGGGGATGGCCTCCACGGCGTTGGGACCTTGGCCTTGCGCCCTGGGAGCGTCTGGTCCCGCGACGTGAACACCTTGAGGTACATTGCGAAGGACTTCGCATTGTCCAGTCAAGGACGCAATAATGGTGGCGGTGGCAAGTCTACACATGTCGATGGTCACGGACACGCTCGCATCCCATGCGCCTTTAGATGTGTGCTGGTACCTGAGAGCCGGATTGCAGTACGACTTGTGCCGCTTCGGGTTGAAGCACGCGCCACACCTTTGATATCGCTCTTGTCGGCAACGCGCGGCCCGTCGCTGTGTGATCGCTTGGTCGCGACGCGCATCCCAGCTCGGAGCATCATGGCGATCGATCAATCGGCTTCTGGCCACAGACTCTATCGCGCCATCTGGTGCAAGCTCTGTCGCGCCCACTTGACGTCATCACTAGTTTTAGCCAATGAACACCTTTTCTTATAGACCTTAACGCCACTACTGGTCGAAATGCACAAAATCCACGGCTTTTCGATGATTCCTGTATATGATTGGTGAAAATGCATCGCTGGTATCACAGGCCGCGAACTGGGCCGCATCACCGCGTTTTTATTGCACCGGATAACCTCCATCTTCTTTTACCTCTCTTTTTGTATCCTGTGTACGTAAAATTTCAGATCCCCATTTTACGTACATTGAGCCCTTGTTTGTATCAGATAATTGCTCGATCACGAAAGCATCTAGCTAGCTCGTAGCTGGCACAAAATTCAATGCAATCTGTCGCTACGGTCGGCCATGCCGTCGACCACGCCCGCTGCTCTAGTCAAAGTACTCGGCCGCGTGCTGCGGTGCGTCCGTCTCGGGGCGTGCGTCCGGATCCGCCATGTCTTCGTTGACATCGTCGCTCGCATCCACCATCTTGGCCGGCACCTACGATACTTGTCAAGATTCAATTCATGCATCTACGATGTCATACGTGTTGGAAGGGCACGCTGGGCACGGGCTCGATCTGGCGCAGTTGCTCGAACAAACGTTGCTACAGCAGTTTGCTACAATCAATAATTTATCGATCCAAAGAATACCTTGGTGTCGTTGAGGTAGCTGGGCGTGTTGAGGTTTTCCATGTTGCTCACGGGCATGTGCAGCCGGTACTCGGGCCCAAAGTACTCAAAGTAGTCGTTGTACGGCATCGCATCCTAGATCGCGCTGTCAGATTTCCGATGCAACTTCTTAAGTTACCGGGATCTCGACGCCGAGGGCCACCGACGTCTCGTAGCACCAGCAGCGCGGAACGTTCCGGAGCGTGTAGCCGCCGCCACCAATGATCAGCGTCGGGATGTTGAACGACCTGACGTAGGCGACCGCAGCGCCGTGGCCCTTGACACTGAGGTTGAAGCAGCCGAGGCGGTCACCCGAGAGCGAGTCGGCGCCGCATTGGAGCACGATCGCCCCCGGCGCGTAGTGCTCCATGACCTTGGAGATGACCTACCCATGTCGTGATGATGCGCCATCGCATGTTTCTGGCAGCATCCTACGTCGCGGAAGACGCCAATGAAGCTCTCGTCGTCCATGCCATCATGGCACGGCACGTTCACGGCGTAGTTCTTGCCTTCACCGTACCCAATGTCCTATGCATAAATATGCTGCAACCACCCATCCGGTGACGGCATCTACCTTGACGTTGCCCGTGCACGGGAAGAAGACGCCGCCGTACTTGTGGAACGAGACGGTCATGACGCGGTTGGTCGTGTAGAAGGCCTCTTCGACGCCATCGCCGTGGTGTACGTCGATATCAATGTACAGCACCCGCGCATGTTCCCTAGGAGTATTCAGCGATTGCTACATGGGCGACGCTTGCGTCATCATCCCGACGTACTTGAGGAGTTCGAGGATCCCAAGGTTGCAGTCGTTGACGAAGCAAAAGCCAGAGGCCTCCGAGCGCTTGGCATGGTGCATACCACCGCCCCAGTTGATGGCAATGTCGGCGCTCTTGTCGTTGAGGCGCGCGGCGCCGCCGATCGAGCCCGTCGCGGCGATCTGGCAAAACTCAAACATGCCATCAAAGACGGGACAGTCGCCGCCGTCGTTGAACGCGAACCGCTGCAGCTGGCGGTAGTGCTCGTGCATATTGTCGGGTGTGACCGTGCGTAGAAACTGAATGTAGTCGTCCGAGTGGAAGCGCGTGAGGTCCTCTACCCCAACCAGCGGCGGCCGCTACGTGGTCGTCCAATAAGTTCTGTGAGGAAGAGGACGACGACGTCGAGGCAGCGTACGAAGACATGCATGTGCTTGGCGAGCCCGTAGTTGACAATTAGGTTGTGCGTGATGCGCACGCGGTGCGGCTAACGCGAGGTGTCGAGAGTCGAGAGGCGGCGAAGTAACAGTGTTATTACCTTCCAGCAGTGCCCGGGTCCGTAGCTGAAGTTGCCAATCTCCGCTAAACCACAAGCCATGAGCGCATGGAGCAAAGAGACGAATGACGCACAATCGTAGAAGTACGAGACGCGCTTCTTGGGCGTGCCGAGCGCATCGGCGAACGCAAGCGGCCCCATAGCTCGCAACTTGGTGAATGAGCTGGAAGCCTGACGGCGGATGTATCGATTGTCACAGTATCGGACATAGTATGCGTTCTCAGAGGTTGAAACTTCCAGTGCCCAATTTGCCATGAGCAACCCACTCGCCGACCGTCGAGCAGCCGTAGCTCCCGGAGCGGTCGACGCGGACAACATATCCCGGATAGAGGACGACCATCAAGATGGACGAGGAGGACGCATGCAGCGGGAGGGTGCGGTGGCGTGCGTAGGGCGGCCCATTGCCTGCGTCGGACAACGATCCAGAGGTAATAGCCCGCTATCGGTGCCACGCGACTGTGCTCCTGACCTCCGTCTACAGACGGCGAACGAGAGGTAGGATGGTCGGACGTTCGCGTTGAAGCTAAGCTGTGGCGTTGCACAATCCCTCCCCAGGGCAGTCGCACAACGAAGAGGTAGCGACCAGAAAAGTCCTCATGTCTCCTGCATTGGTGTCAAGTGGAGTCCATCCAACTCGAGTTGCGTGCTCCGATGCGTCGCCACGTTGGCATGCGCTCTACGAGTCCAGCGAGAGAAGAGTCCCAGGATCTCAATGGCGTCGTCGTCGTTCAACGCAACTCTAGATCAGAGGCGCGTCGCTACGAACTGCAACATCGGCCAACTGCAGCACGTTCAACCCTCCAGCGCTGGAAGCCCGAGAATCAAACCAACTGTGGAGCTACGCATGCCAGCGACTTGAACTTCTCGTAGCTCGCAAAGTTTAACTCAGTTTAGCTCAGGTAAAAGTTTAGCCAAGGCAAGACTCGACGACAAAGCCAATAATCGATATCCCGCGGTTCAGCTGGTGCCACCCTCGCGCAACACGAGCTATCGCGAGCGAGTCGGCTTGACGAACCGTTCGGTTCCACTGTTGTTGGCGCGCAGATGGCGCCAAGACCTTCATGGGTATTGGTCCCCCCCATACAATGCACAAGTACAATCATCAGTACAAATATACCGTCATAAAAAATAAAAATAAAAACGAGTGGGCCCCCACCCGGTCAATGCTTGCATCAATTGGCCACCAACAATCAAATAAGATGGAAGATCAAGTGCTCGTCCTCGGCTCGAGCAAGGACGGCAACGTCTACGTCGTCGACCCGTCGTGCTCGTCGCAGCTCTTCCTCTTCAAGGGCTCATCCTGCGCGCGCCATGGCCTCGCGATCGTGCCCCGCACCGGCCATCTCATCACGATCCAGCCCGGGAAGCTCGCGCTGCACATGCACATGTGGGGCAAAGACGTCCCGACGCTCAAGTGCCACGTGACCGAGCCCATGGGCCCGCTCATCGCGACGCGCGACGGCAACTTCTGCATCGCCGGCGGCGCGTCCGGCAAAATCTACGTCTGGTGCGTCGCCACCGGCGCGCTCCTCCACGTCTGGGACGGCCACTACAAGGCGGTAAACCTCTCATCCTCGTCCTTCCAAATAGCCTCACGCTGCCTAGGTCTCGGCGCTCGCCTTGACGCCGGACGACGCGTTCCTTGTTTCGGGCGGCGAAGACGCGGTCGTGCACGTGTGGCGCCTCCTCGACATCCTCGACGCGTCCCACGAAGGCTCGACGCTCAACCAAGGGCTCTCGCCGCTGCACACGTGGACCGACCACGTGCTCCCGATCACGCACGTGCACTGCGGCTTTGGCGGGCGCATCTTCACGGCGTCGCTCGACCGCACGGCCAAGGTGTGGGACCTCGTGCACGGCCGAGCGCTCGTCTCGGTCACGTGTCCCTCGTACGTCAACGTGGTCGTGCCCGACGCGATGGAGCACCGGCTCTTCCTCGGCGCCGGCGACGGCCGCATCTACGTCGTCGATCTACACGCCGCCGCGACGGCGGCGACCGCGGCCCACGCCCGCGTCGTGCTGGCGGCGGACGGCGCGCCGTTCTCGCAAGAGACGCTGAGCGCCGAGGGGTTTGTGGGCCACGAACACCCGGTGACGACGCTGGTCGTGAGCCTCTGCGGACGCTTTGTCATCTCGGGCGACGACGACGGCGTCGTGCGCGTCTGGGACTCGGTTTCGCGCCAGGCGCTGCGGACGATGAACTTTGTCAAGGGCTCGATCGCCGACATGGCGCTGCTGCCGCGCCCCGTTGGGCTCTTCCACCCCGTGGCCAAGACGTCCCACGAGCTGCCGATTGCGCCCTTCAAAAAGTACATCAACGCCTCGTAGATGCTCTCCGTATAGTACTCTAATCCTAATGCATCGTCGTTCTCGCCGAGACGAGACGTTTTTCGGGACTAGGGTTATAAAGGGGCACGCAGTCTACTCGTCGTCGTCGTCGTAGTCGACGGCCAGTTCGTCCAGCTCGACGCCCCGACGCACCGGCTTGGGGTTCAAAAGACTCTTGATCGAGAGCGACGAGCTGTCGTCCGAGGCCACGGACCGCGGTGTGTCGTTGCCGCTCTGGCGCAGCGACTGCAATAGCGGCGCCATGATCGGGCCGCCTTCCTTGGCCACCGGCAGCGGATCAAAGACCACGTTGCTGTAGTCGGGCTGCTCGCGCACCACGTGGTGGGTCTCCGAGACCGACGGTCGCTTCGCCGCCGCCTCGCGCGCGATCTCCGCCAGCGACCGCGTGTCCCGGACCTCGGTCTTGGTCGTCGTCGGCTTGGCCACGTCGCAGCCGGACCGGGTCGTCGTGCTCCGGCCGGGTCGGGACCGCGACCGCTGGGAGCGCACCGAATTGGTGCGGGGCAGCGCCCGCCCCTCTTCTTGGCGCAGCACTTCGACGCGGTCTCTTCGGCTCACGTCGTCGCGCAGCGATGGGCGGCGCTCGGGTGTCGCCGGGCGCGGCGAGTTGCGCCGCTCCAGATCACGGGACCGGGACCGCTGGGCCCGGGGCACGTCTCGACGCGGCGACGGTGTCCGAGGCCGACTCGTCGGCGCACGACCCGGCGACCGGCGGCCTTGCATGACCATCGGCGATCCGAGACGACGCTGCGCCATATCCCGAGAGGGCGACGGCTGGCGGCCGGGCGACCGTCGGATGGGCGATCGCTGACGGTGGGGCGACGGTAAGCGACCGACCGACCGACGCGTCGGAGACCGCGGACGCAGGTGTGGTTGCTGGGATACCGGCGACCGCCGAGGTGGTGAGCGACGCATCGGCGAGCGCTGGCGGCCGGGCGACGGTGGGCGCATCGGAGATCGACGCATGGGCGATCGGGGGCGGCCGACCGATCGCCG